CATCTAGTTTGGCTCGGCGTGAAAGGCGAAAGTGAAAGAAGCAACCAGAGGCATAGGCGAGCATAGCCTAGTAGTCCTCTTCTGGTTTAGGCATGTAATGTTATGTATATTGCCATTTTAGGGCCCACGACTGTGTTGACGTATACTTTCTTTTGTTTGGATGACTGTATTTGATGGAATGTTGTTAAAATGGATGAAGGCCATAAGACTCTGCTGTATGTGATACTCTTATGTGCATGACTTGTGGGCTGGTTGAGCACCCTATGTTTCTTGTGCCTAAGTCTTTGTGAGATGAATGTTATGTTAAGCTTGTGGGAGGTTATTGTGCCCTGAGGCTTTGTTCTACGTGTTGTTAAACCCGTGGGTGTTTTATGTATGCTGAGCCGCTTGGGATGTTTTTGAAACAAGTCAAACTCTTTATAACCATGGTAGTATTTTAACACTCTAATTCAATTCTTTTTCTACCATGGTTATCATTTTAAAAAATGGTTTTATAATTATGTATTAAAAGAGGCCTTTTCACAACTCAAATAAATTAGGGATATTTTTGTCTGTTTACACAAAATTTGTCAAGGAGTATAGTGAAATTTCATAATTTTTAAGAGAGTTAACTGATATTAATTGAGTACTGAGAGGATTTATTGAAATTTTTGTTTTGTAATATGGCAAGGAAGTTTTAGAGTCGGTTAAGATTTAAAAAAAAAAAAAACAGTTAACTAAAAAAAATGATGTTTCGTATAATTTTGAGGGACCAATGGCCTCTTTTTATTGCTTGAAAATCACTTTAAAATTGAAGAATTTAATTTAATGAATTAAAAATATTAGTGGAGATCATGAAATTATACTACTTTTGATTTTAATTATAAAATTTCGTTTATAATTATAAATAGATTTTATAATTAGAATCAGATAAGACAGTAACTATTACAGAAGAATGAGGCCCATTACAGAGATGATTAAAAAGGACAATAAAAATAAAGGTAATTAAGTAATTCATAATAAAAAAAAGTCGGGTGGGGCTGCGGCGGCGCAGCCACTGATGATGATGGGGGAGAAGCAGAGCCGCCGACCATGCGTTGTAATGTAATAATGCGTTCTGCTTTATCTATGGTTTTTCATTTAGTTATTTTGGAACAAATAAATAACTGAAGAGTCGTGGTGTGGTGTGCGCAGAAACCCGCTATTCGATGTGTAAGTGGGTGAGGTCACCTCCGCCATCAGATCCGTCAGGCCGTCCCATCTCCCACTATCTTGCCACGTGCTTCCCATTTTCCACCCTCTTCTTCTCCCTCACTCACTCACGCACGGCCCTCCCCCCCCATCTCTTTATTTCTTTGATAATCACTCTCTTCTTCCTTCTATTTCTGCGTCCTTCGTTTTTTTTCTTAATTAAAACGACAGATAACAAATTACATTGCTTTTAAATTTTAACGATATTTATAGATTTGTACGTAGTAATGTATTATTCTAGAAAATACAACAATCCATTTATAAAAGTTAGATGATCAATTCTAATTATAAGACCAGAGATAATATAAAAATATAATTTATTTTGTCTATTATATTTATTCACTTCTCATAAAATAGCACTTATGATGATTGCTCATGTTAAAAGATTTTGATTAAACAGTAGTTCCATTACAACATGATTAATAAGAATGTTTTAAGAAATAATAACTAATTTAATTACATTTTTTTAAATATTTACAAATTAGTTATTTGATTCTTTTGGTATTAAAGTTAACCATTCATGTCTTTCTTATTTGTCATTTGTAGAAGAAATTTTTTTTTGTTACTTGTACTCGTTTTAATGTTTCATTTTTAATTCTGTTTCTATTAATTAATTATAATAAAAGTGAAGAGAGGAGAAATATGTGAGAGAAAATATATTAACATTTAATGCCTTCCTTAATAAGGATAAAGTAAAAGATTTTATCTATTTAATGTTTTTTTGGTATGTGAAAAGCTTTTACAAATGACAAATTATAGAACCAGAATGTATAAGTTATTTCTTACATATAAAAAAAATAAATAAAAGTTTAGTAATTAAGCTTATCTTAAAATAATAGAAATTTTCTATTTTACCCTTAAAAACGAGAAAGTTGCTTTTAGTGCCACATTTTTAATTACCTCTCCTTTTTTATTTAATACAATCGAAAGTAAAAAACTCATATTATTGTATTATGACATCATTTTTATTTTATATTTTGAATTACAATTTTCTTGACCTAATAGCAAGAAAAACAAGGACAAGGGCATTGTAATGTAATACTCTTCCGGTCTTAGGGCCTGTTTGGGGTTCTAAATTATGGTTTCAGAAGCACTTTTCCGCAAAACGAGGTAACCTTCTATACATATTTACTTCGTAATCCGTAAAAGCACTTCTGAAACCAGGTTTGGTTTCTATCCAAACACTCTCTTATACATACTAGTATAGAAATCTTATATTTAGGGTTGTTTGGATAACATAGAAATCATGAAAAAACAACCAGGAAAAAACAGAAACCATGGTTTTGGATCAAAACCATGGTTTCAGAAGAAGTAAATTTATTCTGCTTCTGGCTCAAATGGGAGAGTATGATTGTGCTTGTAGAGTAGATCTTAACGACAATATGATTTTAACATTCCTCAATTATTTTTTTAGACATATTTAATCTTATATTTTATAAATATATGTACATATTAATTATATTATTTATATTATTAATTATGTTGGTAAAAAAATATTATTAACAATTTTATTTTTCAAATTAAAATATACTATAAAATCTATCTTTTATGTAATATCATATTAACTTATGTCTTTTTTAGTAAAATTTGTACATATAAAAAGTTCTTCTGATAACAACTATCCAAACACTCTAATTTATCAGAATCACTTTTTCACAAAATCTATTTTTCACAAAATCTATTTTTTTTAGAATCTATTCTCTAGAAATTATTTTTCAAATTATGATTTGATTATATCCAAACACCATTAGAATCGATTCAGCAAAAAAAACTCATATTAATTCTATTATGACATCCAAACACCCTTAGGATCGGATAGGGGGCTGTGCCTATCCGCCTCCGGACGTTGCGATTGTCGTCTTGTGTCACCGCTTTCATCGCCCACGTGTCCTACTTCCCCCATTTCCATTTCTCTCTTTCTACCCCTTCTCCTTTACGCCATCCAATCACTCTTCTTCACAATTATGAAATTTACGGTCCGGTTGGTGCAAATTCAATCACCTCAATTCACAATTTGAGATGACAGACTTTCTATTGTGAGCAAATGCTTATCTATGGAGTAAGGAAAATTCTATTTCATAATTAAAAAGCCAAAAGATTATACCCTTATTGAGGCAAGAACAGATCAAAAGGGCCAGAGCTAAAGCGCATTATAAATAAGATAAGAGGTTTGATGTTAAAAAAAAAAAAAAGAAGAGATGTTAGATGCATTAGAAATAAGATCAAATGTACCATGAAAATACTTTGCCATATTATATTCCTCCGATTTTAAATATAAGACACATTTTATAGTATAATTTATATTATAAAAAGGATTTTATACTTAGAATACATTACGAGAAGTGTCTTATACTTAGGACCAGAGGAGTATAAGATAGTATATATATATAATTTTTTAAATTTTATTTATAAAGGTTTAAATTTTTTAATTATAAGAAGAAATGTAAAATATCTTATAAATAGGTACAGAATATTAGTGTAAACCTTGATCATTTTCATTCGTCCATCTCTTTCCCCGCATACTGGGTTTCTAAGACGGCAATTGATAATAAAATACGGAAAGTTGATGAGTGTGACGTACGAGTAGTCATATTTTATTCCCAATTTATTATGTACGAGTACTATTTATGTCGTCTCGTATTTTAGTGATCCATTAAGCGCAATTAATGCTCCTCACAACTAGCTCCATCAACCACTCCTGACATCATCACACATCCTCATATGCTCTGTCACCTCCTAACTCTGAGCCCCTCCTCCTCTCTTCCTTCTCTTAAATGCCATTTCCCCCCAATTACGTACCTCCCTTGGTTTTCTTGACTTTGACGTACGTCCATGTTTTGTCAAAACCCACTTAGACTTACCTCATCCTATCTCATACTTATTTCCCTCTACGACGCAGTCATGTGGTTCACGTAGGACGTACCGCGTCTACGTCCCCAGCTAGCTTCATTTCCAGCTATTACATCACCCATTATCACAAGCTCAATCCCAACCGCAAAAGATTCGACAATCCAGTACTGCCAATTGAGCTCGGCCGGCTTGTGCGAGAATGAAATAAATTGGGTTTTGATCATTTGAACTCAAATGTACGTACGGGCATATGGCTTTGACGGACAAAACATAGTTCCAACCTACAAGTGTGCGTGGCCACGTTTCATTTTGTAGACCCCAAACAAATGCTTGGTTTCATGTCGGCCGAATTCAAAACACGGGACGAGTTTAAGACCTGAAAAAAGCCACTTTGTTTATAAAGCCTGCACTATAATTTAATCCAACAACGTTGCGGAATCCGAATCCTCTTTCAGACCATATGCCCACTTAACACGATTATTTATTATGCATTAGCTTTATTTGTTTGTTTATCCTTTGGCGAGTACTCCTATACTGTTCACAGGTGATACCAACTTATCCGAGTGACGCTTAATACGCATTATCATACGATTGATTACTACCCCACAACGTCCCGAAAACAGGATACGCGCGCTGAACAGCGGGTGGGTCTCATCCGAGCCTGCTTTATTAATGCCCTGCTACCATTTTCAGAATTCTGCGCTCTGTTCCAACCTGACTCTGAAAGGAATGCCATCATGCCGACACCCACACGCCCGCTTCCCAGACAACTTCCCCCTCACTCCCCGTCTAGTTGCGCGTGCGTGCCACTCGCGGCGGCCCAGCCCCGCAGCGGTCGTTCCCCGCTCTACCCATTTTTTACGAAACCACAACGCCATTTGAAGGGAGAAATGAAAACTCACAGTTAAAATGGCGATTAACAATAAATATATATACATGGCATGTTTTCATAGCTTTGATAGAGTAATATATTCTTGTCAGTACTGGGTTCTGAGAGTCTCGGATGATGATAATAAAGGTTACAACACATAATGGATGAACAAAACAGGGTAGATGGAAAACAGTTAAAAGCGACATCGTCTAAATGCCCTAGGATACAAAACGCCCGTTCAAGGCCAGACGGGAGGAGGTTCGTTCAAGTCGATCGGCAGGCCTCGCCGAACGAGGCCGAGAAATGAAGCCGTGGGAGAGTTCTCCGTCACCTGACGATGACCTCCGTCCACGGGTACAGAACCATCACGCCGGTTGTGAACCATTGCAATGGGAGCTGCAGGGGAAGAAGGCGGAGGATGATCAAAAGACATGTCCTTGAGAACACCCACGTGGAGGAGCTCGTTCAGCACGAGGCGACCGGAGGGGATGGGAGGCCAGCGATGATCAGAGGTTGGGGCGTTGAGGTCGAGGGACAGACCTCCGGTGGCCACCGGAGCCGCAGGGAAGTTGGTTTTTGCCTTAGGACCACGGAGGGAACGGGCAGCACCGTCGTAGGCCAGCGCCGCTTCTTCCGGAGTGTCAAACGTGCCAAGCCAAACGCGCGTTTTCTTCCACGGGTCGCGAATCTCGGCGGCGTATCGACCCCAAGGTCGCTTTCTGACCCCTCTGTAGTGACCCTCGCGCGACATGGAAGAAGAAGGCGAAGACGAAGAAGCCATGAAATGAAACGAAGCTTCGTTAGTATAATCTTTCTCTTTCACACTCGCTGCAAAAGCCTTTCACAAAGCGAGGTGGGGAAAGAATGAGGGAGGAAGTGGGTGAAATAGAAGGGGGACCCACGCAGCCTCCCGTAATCGTCGGCTGGGCGGCACAACACTAGGCGCCGTTTGTTTTCTTTTCTCTTTCCCTCGTTTCCTTATATATCTGCGCGCACACAGAAGAAAAGCTCAAGAAATTCAGGATTTTAAAAAAAAAAAGAGCGGAATTCGGGGAGAGCCGTCCGATGGTGAGGCGTGTTAAAATGAACAGTTAAGATTAGAAAGACGGAAAAACACGCCGAACAAGAAGCGCGTGGAAGAGGGAAGTGGGACCCAAGCGGAGGAAAAAGCCGCCGCCCGATTGGATTCGGACGTGGGCGCAGCAAGAGGGTATGATAGGATCATGTGAGTGACGTAAGCCCTACAGAGAAATTTACGCGCCTGACATTTTTATTATTCTTTCCACACGGAACTACTAGTATAATACTATTACTAAAAAAAAATACACATATCATACAGTATATTTTTTTAAAATTTTAATTAATATGAGTTTGTATTACTAACATAAAAATTAATAAACATATCAGTGGGGAAATTTTATAAATTTAAAAGGTGCAAAAATGAAAAAAAAAAGGTCGGGGGGAGGATGGTGGCAGTGTCTGAGGAGGAGGGAACAGAAGGAGTTGGGCCCAAGACAGGGAGATGGGATGGGACTGAAACGCGAGAAGGGTGTATCTGGATGGCGTGTTTGACTCGCTTCCTCCTGTCTTTTTTTCTGACACTTTTTTTATTCACTTTTCTATATTTTTTGAGCGAATATTATACTCTTCCTGTCTTTAATATAGGACCCAATTCTTAAGTGGTTTTGATCCTAATATAAAACCCTATTTATCAATTTTCTCTAAATTACCCTTATAGATACTGTCTCAACCATAATTAAGTAGAAGAGGAAGAGGGGTATTAAGAAAGATGATTATGGTGTTTTAGGAAAAATGTATCACTTTTTTTATAATTAACCAACTTATCTAACTTCTTTAATTTAATCAAATTTATCAAATGGGTCTTATATTAAGGATCAGAGTATTATATTTATTTCTACTATTACCATGGAAAGTTATAGGGGTGTGTGTGTATGTGTGTTTTTGTGACGTGAGTCGGTGAGAGAGAAAGGGAGTGTGAGACTGAGAATGACTGCACCAACCTGACATTTCATAAACATACAAAAACGGGGGGAAGGTAGTAATAATGGTCACGTGAATGCTATTATTCGTTTTTTTTCCAATTTATATATTACTACTTCTTTTTCTTATTATAAGACCTAATTAATTAATTTAGAAAGATTAAAAAAATTAGTTAAGTTAGTTACTTATTATAAATAGGTATTGTCTTTACTAAAATACCTTTAATAATCATGTATATTAACTAGAGTTAACATTATATGAAACATTTTATATGTGCGACTATTTCAAAGACTACTTTAAAAAATGAATAAATATGAAAGACATAGTAGATTAGAGTCTTATATTTAGAATCGAATTAAAAGTTAAATAAACTCTTGTAATAAGAAACGGAGGTAGTAATTTGTTAAATACAGTACTACTCCATCCCTAATTATAAGTACCTTTTATTCAAATTGAGCTTTTTAAGAAAACAGTTAAAATTAGTTAAAAGCAATTAATACGTAACAAATGTAATTTTTTCCCAAATATATCCGTAATAAATATAAGCGAGTAATAATGAGATAAATAAAGAGAGAATGTATGGAGAGAGAATTACATAAGAATTTATTAAAGGTAAAATAAGTAACAATACATTAAATATTCAGACAAATTCAAAAAAAACTTATAAAAAAATAAATCTATTAAAAAAGAGGAACTTATAATTAGGAACAGTAAGTTTTTAGCTTTTACTCCTTCCGTTTCTTATTATAAGAGACAAATAACCAAATTATGTTGATAAAAAAAACAGTTAAAATTAGTTGAGGACAATTAATATGTAAAAAGTATAATATTTTTTCCAACAATGCCCCTATTAATAAGGAGAGAGTATGAGAGAGAACAATTAAATTATTAAAAAAAAGAGAAGTGGGAGGGAGAGAGAGTATGAGTTGGAGATAAAATAAATAGGGATAAAATAGAAAATCAATACAAAAAAATAAAGATAACTTTTAAGTGTTTCTTATATATGAGAACATATTATAAGGATCAAATGTCTCTTATAATAAAGAACGGAGGGAGTAGTATATAGTGCGTGAGTGTTTTGTTTGTTAGTTTGATGGTGGGGTGTGGCGGGTGGTTTCGTCAGGGAGGGACCATGTTGGGTGATTCTCTGCACACAGACACGTGTGTCTTTTTTTTTTTTTTAAAAATGTCTACAAAAAATATTTACTTTTTAATTGCATTGGCTTTTTGAAGCCATTGTTGATAGGACGCACACTTTCTTTTGTTCCCCTTTTGTTGTCTTCTGTCTCGTCTTCTTCCCTTCCCCCCGACCCTCCCATGTTTCCACTACCACCTCCTCCCCCACCTATGTTCCTCCCATTTATTAAGTATTTTTAACTCTTACTTTTAATTTTGATGTATCTTTATATATCAATTTGTCATTAAAATTGCTTGGATATGTCAAAAGAATTTTATTTTATAAAACCTACACATGATCTTTTTCAGAGTGATCCAAACCCGTGCCAAGGATTGGACGAAGCCAGACTCTCATCGACACATTGGCACACCCCAAAACTTGAAGTTCAGATAAGAAATTTATAGCACTGCCTATCTGTTCAACACCAAATTTTACGTCCCTTGTTCCGATATCAGAAGTGAAACTTAAACTGTGAAGCACCAGATTGACATGACCAGGGGCTTTTGAAAATCTTATTTCGATGGCATTTGATGTATGTTAAAAACCATTAAATAATTTAAAAAGTAATGCAGGTCACTCGTAAAAGTAGTGATCTTGGTTCGGGTACGAAGCCCCCCAAAAGGCATAACGGCCTACGTTAACATAAATTTTAGATCTTTCTAACCTGAGGAACATAGGAATTCTATTTTCAATTAATCAGTAAAGTGATACAGCATCTTCAGGTTTATTCATCTGCTAAAGTTTAATTATCGAACATTAGACACCCCCCGCCCCAAATTAAAAAAAAAAAAAAGCTTTAAACGTCTAAGAAACAGCGAAAGGGAGTACAGCAATGTACAGCATTTTCGGATTTACAAAGCTTGTAGAAGCGGTCCAATTTGCAGTAGAAACACAGAATGGACGACAGCTACACCAAAAGACCAGATTATGTGCCATCCAAGCCCACCAAAATGAGAGGGAGATTGCTCAGAGTGATATAGCAACTGAAGGCAGAGAAAGAATAGGACTTGATGGGCATTGTTATGAAGAAAGCAAGATAGGGCCAGTGTCAGCAGCGTTGCGGGCATTGCCATAACTAGTATGCCTGTTCATCTGGATGTCACGGGATGACTGGGTCCTTGCTTTTGCATATGGTGCAGCCCTTGCTGCAAGATAAAATCACAGACACAACATAAGTTCTCATTCCAACATAAACTGGATCTCTCAACACCTCCCAAGATGGTTTGATTAGACTTGAAATCAGTACTATAACCAAATGTCGAAAGTCACAAGTTTGAAAATTTTCTGTGGTGCCAGGTCTGCACAATGCCAACAGTGGCGACCATGATGAATATATCTAGTGTTGATGTTTGGATACCATGGTGATTTCAGTATTACATACATCCATTTTAAGTGAAGCATGATGCCATAAAATAGGTAGAAGATCATAAATCATACGGCGATGAAACATAAACAGATGATGTTTTGATAGTTGAACTCATAGATAATGAACGCCTTTACCTGCAATTTGCTGAGTTCGGAGGATATTTTGCCGCCTTTTCCACCAGCAAACTGAACAGGTTACAAGAATTAGAAATGCTAAAGAAGCGCCTAGTCCGATGCCAATTATAGCAGCGACAGAAAGGTGAGATCCGCACGTACGTAATCCAGGGATACCGCACAGGCCAGCATTATCAGTGAAACTGCGGCCATGTACAAGTGTAGTGGTGCAGATTTAAAAGATTATCACCCAGGAAGGAAAAAACAAGAAAAAAAGCAGGGGGAATAAATTGCACAAACATATTTGAATCTTCTAAATAAGTTTAAACCATTGATAACATACTTGAAGCTAGCTCTGTGCAGAAGTCTTCCTCCTAGTGTTGCAGGGACCCTTCCGGACAGCAAATTGCCATTAAGATTCCTGGATGAAGACATATTAATACAAATTCTACATCCTTCTCCTTTCTTTCTTTTCTTTTTGTTTTTTTTTTTTAAAAAAGGAAAACTTGTGATATATTTACGCAAGATGATCATACAGTCTCTGCAGTGATGTCAACTGTCCAAGGCTTTCGGGGATTGATCCATTGAAAAAGTTGTAGGACAGGTCCCTGCATGAATACATCACGTTCAAAAATCCCATTAACATGGAAGCACGGAGAAAAAACTGTTCCTAGAAAAAGCGCAAAGAAAGAACTGAATTTTCTCATGATTTTGAAACACGTTCAACATCCTTGCGAATCAAATGTTAAAATCCACTAACCTTTAACAAGTTCATTTAGATATATGACTCTAACTTTCCTTCTAATTTTTATGTAATGCCCAGCCCTTAATTAGCTTTTACAATCAGATCCATGTTTAAGAATCCAACCCTTCTTTGGTTTGCCTCATAAATACTGTCAAAAATAGTTACCGTTACAAACATAGTACCCGGGGTATTCCCTCCTTTTCTTGTTGGGAGGTCCTCCTACAGTAGATTCGAAGAGACCACATATGCTCTGACAAACCCAAGAAACTGTTTTACAAGCTCGTCTTGTGTGTGGGCACATCTTTTCCCTTAGATATTGCTCATGTTTCAAACGGCATGCATGTTTTAGCTAAAGCTTGATTCATGGAGTAGAACTGAAAACGGGATTGACTTTGCATCATTTCCTAACTAAACTCATCTTTTGAATGTAAGAACCACATACTGCCACAGCAACTTCTCATTTCTGACAAATTATCGACATATCCGGACAAAAAGTCTTATTTATTTATTTATTCTGTCGAAAGATCTACCATACTTTGCTTGGTACATTATTAAAATGAACCATGAATCACTGGCAGAAGTTTCATTGGTCTCCTTAACATGGACACAGTTAAGCAAAACTGGTCACTACATTGTGAACTTGTACTAATAGAAGTAAGAAGAGACATCTGTTTGAATTCCTTTAGGACCAACTACATGCATAACAAATGTTTTATAGCGTGGTAGTGCACTCAGGCAATATGGGTGTAGTGTTTTTTTTTTTTTTTGGGTGAACATATGGGTGTAACTTTGTATTAGCTTAAAATTAGTAATGGTAGTATGGAGAAATAAAGAATATTAATAATTAGTAGCTGGCTTGGGGGTGGGGGGGACTGGTTATGACTTGGGAAGCAAGTTCTGGGTGTAATTAACCACAACATTGCGTGATAAGAGGGAGTTTTGGCATGTCTGTGAAGACAATGAATAATCAATGGGCTTGGCTAGCGAATTTATCATACTGCATGCCACTGTAACAATGGGCAAAAGCTATCATACCAAATCAAAAGATCGCTCTTGCCCAGTCTCTGGATTTTAACAGAATTTATAAGCCCTAAATTTCAGAATCCAGCACGTAATTGCAGCTTGAAGTTGAGACATAAGCAGGATAGTGAGGGAATAAATTAGAAATTAGATTGGGCAAAAAGTCACACCATCTAATACCATAAAAAGAGAGATGTCGGAGGCAAAGGAGAAATAGGCTGAATCATCATTAGAGCATCATCGTTTACTTCATATATTCATGAGCCATAACAACTCAGTCTTCAGTCAGTGTATCAATTACTAAGAGTTCCTTATAAGATTCAGAACAATGGAAAGAATATCATAATAGGCGCACTTACAGCACTTGCAGTTTCCCTATTGCTCCAAGCGAGGATGGAATGGCCCCACGAATGCTGTTTCCGCTCAAGTTCCTGCAATGCACATGTAAACAAACATCACATATAGGCAAAGAAACCTGCTGGCTGTTTCTATTCCTTGACAAACAGGGAGTTAAAAATAAGGAAAATAAACAAGGGTCTGCATATTTTGTTATCAACTATTGATATGTTACTTTTTTAATTCAATCAAGGCCTGCGTATTTTGTTATCAACAATGCTTCAAACATGATATAGGCATACATGCATTTAAATAAAACTTAAGACACAGTGTGTCTATGTGAATTAGAGAGCAAGCCAGGAAACTAGCAAGAACTCACAAGATCTGTAGGTTATGCAGTCCAGATATGTCATTTGGCAAGAAACCCTTCAGACCCTGGCTGTCAAGGCCTCTGTCCATCAAAAGATCAAGCACCATCAGAAATTAAATAGCATCTTAGTAGTAACGATCTCTTTTCAGGGTAAAATATGGATGAAACGCTTACAAAAATTTAAAATATACTAATTAGATTTTGAATACCATTTTTCACTGCGTAATGTGTATAGAGGTATATATGATTTAGAAGCTCTCATGCTGAAGAATTGATTTTTAGCTATAATACAACTATAACTAAAAGCGATTACGTGAAAACAACAACTAAATAATTTTAAAGAAGGAATATCAATTTGATGTTGAAACAGTCAGATCGTCAAGAACCACTTCATTACAAAAAGCTTAAGCTGTTAGGAAGTCCAAGGATATGTTTTAATAGCATCTCCTAAACCAATGAAAATAAAAGCCTAAACAAATGGAGAACATACAGTCCATCAATGACCCATTTTCCACTTTTTTTGTCTAATTGACAATCTGCTCCGGTCCATGGATGTTGCTGAGGAACACAGGGATCACCATTCCACCCAAACCTGGGGGGAAGCGCCAATGCCTTCTTCAATGATTGTAAAGCCCTAACTAGAGTAAAGTGATAGTAATCAACTTTCAAAGCTTGCATTTTAGATTACCAGGATAATATTCACAGCTATTAGTATTAAGTAAACTAAAAAATGTAATGAAAAGTGAGACGAGACCAAATACAACAGTCCTAAAATTAAAACGTTACTAGCCGTGAATATTAATAAAATAACAAAATATCATGAATTGGGCAGGCTGATAGGAAAAAGAAAAGCCACAAACTATATTATTTTATATCAATAACATATTCCCTAGGCTTGCAAGCATTGCTGGCATTCCATAGTCATTTAAGTTATACAACAAACTGAAGTAGTTTTTTTCAGTCATAAATTCCATACGTCGCAAGGATCCATATTCATCATGACAGAATTCCAACTTGGAACACAATGTTAAAATATAACTTATATCAACACTTGGAAACATTGCTATTTATATGAGATATTAAAAGCAAGAAAAGCACCCTGTTGATTAAATTCTTGATTCTGAGGAAACTGTTAGTATATAACAAAGAGGGTCAGCATATGTACCTTCCTCTGATAATGTTTTTGACTCGACCATTATAATCTCAAATATCTCAATAGCACTGATGATGGCAAGACTACCTTCTTTTGGCTTCAAGGCTATTGTCAAACTCCTCCCATTAACAGTGACAGTTGTATTAAGCACAAGGGCAGTATATCGATTACCACTCAATTTTATAATATCTATATCTTCAAAGGTAGTATCACCATTTATCATGACGTCAAACACTCTTTGCCCTGCACTAGTCACTGAATTATCAATCTCTGCAAAATGTAACCAAACGGAGTAGTTTCGGTTGGGATCCACATCCATTATATATGTTAATTCAGGCTGACTAGCAGTACTAACGAGTGCTGAGCGATAAAGAGTTTCTGGATAAAAGTTTGGAGGAAGTGAAGCCTGTTTGACCCTATTTTCAACAGATCTAGGTCTATCTGAATCTTGACCAAAACTTTTTATGTGGTGCCAGAATCTGTCCCCTCCCCAAGGATCCCCTCCATAATCTATGCCAAATTTTGACTGTCCAAAACCACAACTCAGTCTTTTGACTGTTCTAAGTATTATCCCTTGACCCCACTGTGGGCCAAAATAATAGGCTTTATCATCAATTTGAAGAATCTCAATTGATAGTATTGCTGGGTCACCATGACCTGTGCTATGGAAACATATAGAGACAGTTCCATCCATAAGAAAAAGAAGGGCTTCAGCAAAGACTTGATCAACCTGACTTGTCCAGCCTGATTTTAAAGACTGTATTTGGGTACCATCAATTGAGATATCAAACAGTGGTTCACTGGTAGCTCTAGATGTTACAGCAATTCCAAAGAAGATCCTGAGTGAGTAGTGCCCTTTTGGCACTCTATGAATGTTGTAACAATTTGAAGGGCCTTCAGACAAGGGGAAGTAGCGGAGAGTTCTAAGAGGAGGACTAACGTAATTAGGACGAGATGCATTGCCAGGTTTGCCGCCTGTATATCCAAAGTCCTTATACCAGAGGGTACTGGTGGGTCTTGTTTGAACATTTTGACGAGCCCCGCAGCTTATACGCATAGCAAATGGTGCTGCAAATAATCCAACCAAATTTGAGAAGAGAAGAAAAAGAACACGAACATTCTAAGGAATAAGAATGAAAATCCTTATCGTCTGATATGTACAAGCAATCATTCTGATTCACTGAAACAAAGATCAACCAAAAGAATAACACAAGACAAGTAGGAACTATCCCTTAATCAATATGCATTTTATCAGATTGTCAATTGGGGGTGGCAAATGAGTAATGCGATCGAATCCTTGAGATGTTCAAATTATACGTGGCAGCTTGTACCTTATGCCGGAGTTCATGATGAAAAAGTAGAGTGAACTCCAGAAACGTGACACGATACCAGTTATCCCCCAGAACACTGATTTCACCCTTCCAATAACTCGAAAGTCAAATTCTAAAGAAAAGCGTTCGAAATTGATCGACCATTTTTTACATGTTGAATTCTTAACAACTAATATTCTCAAAGTCAAAGCATTCAACAGCAAAGTCAAGTAACGCTCTAGACAACGCATCAAGCAAAATATCATTGGCTTCTAATGATTTATTACAAAGTGGTGACCAAGTTCTTTCTTTAAGGGGGAAAAAAAGGATTTAGATTCAGATTAAACGCGTAGACGGAAAGGAGTTTCACCATTTTGCCCTCCCCTGGAGCGGCATGAATTTCTCAGATGCCAGCTGGGATTAAATGGCTGGACATTATTAGAATCGAATCAAAACCAAGTAAAAATACAGATGAAGGGAGAGAATACGGCGCTGTATTCCAATCTCAACTCAGGCACTACATTACTAAGTCATCCGCCTTAGCTATGATGAATAAGAACTGTAGGAGATCAACCCCACATCAAAATGGAATTCAATCGCATTTAAGGATCACAGCTACTCGGACCAAAACCAGCGAAATGGGGTGGAAATATAGAAACCCGAACTCAAAATCTCAAGCATCGCAGCCTCTAAGCGTTTCCACGCGTGTTCGAATAAACAGAGAAAAGGAGATAAGGGCAACCGAAGCTTACCTCGGCGCGCTGAACCCGAAGTAAAAGCTGAGCAGAGTATGAGCATCCATGGCAGGAGAAATCTAAGCATTGTGGAAAGTGAATTCCTGCTTCTCTCTAGTACTGCCTCCTCCTTTTTCTTACTTTACTTCATGTCCGCACTTCCTCCTTGCTTTTCCACAGAGAGAGAGAGTAGTGCTTGCTTAAATGCTTGGCCGGGTCTGAACTCTGAACTTTATGACACCGCTGAGAATTTACTATTGCTAATCTTTACGCAATTAGTTGTCCCGTGACTCCATAGCGAGGCTTTATCACAGCCGCTGGCGCGTCAACTGTCGACTATCAAAATTATTATCATATAAAGATGTTATCTTTAATGAGGAATTTGAGCAGGTTGCGTCGGAATCGTTCTGTGGTCCCACTTGCTGACTGGTTTTGGGTTGTGAGATGACAGATAGCTTGCAAAGGAACAATAAATATTAGAGCATTGTTATTTTATTATAAGTGACCGGATATTTTGAATAGAATAGGATGCTTATAATTTCAGCAAAATAAAAAATTCATGAAATATATGTATAATAACATGTCAGCTCAAGGAAAAGGATTTGTATGACCAGAGTTAAATTTTGGAAGAATTACAATAAGGTTTCAAGTAAAGAAAACAATTAAAAAATAAGTCTCAAAAGTTGTTATTTTCATTATAGAACTTGTCATTGTAGACTGTTGAGTTGTTATTGAGACCTTTTAATAATTATTTCTTTTTTATGAGACTTGATTGTAATTTCCCCTTAAATTTTTTATTTTGCTCAGGAGCATGCTCAATTTCAAAACCTAAAATAACATGCAGAATCCAACTTGAAATTTATTTCTAATCAGTTGGTTTTGACAAGATTCCGTGGAAACTTATAATATAGTAATTCATTAATTTTGGTCTCGAAACACCTCATGTCATGAGATCATTTTTACCTTAAAACTGAGAAGTTGAAAACGACATGTAATCATCATTTTACAACATAAAACCATGCTGGCGATATCTACATTCGTAGATACTAAATCAAGCATCAATCATTTTTTATTGATTGTTCTTTAAAAAGCTAGGGGCATGATCACGAGTGCATATCACTGTATCTAAATATGGCGTCCTAGATCACAAAAAAAGAAATGATGATTGGTAATTCTATTCCTAGGGAGTTTGATTTATATGATGTCAAATGAAAGGGAAGGGGGGAAGCCAAAAAAAAGAAGGAAAAAAAAAAACAAAGAAAATAACAGAGAGAGAAGAAGTGGCTTGCTTGGGCAATTGAAAATAATTACGAAGGCAAACTACCACCCACCTCCTTAATGTTATTCTTAATAGCATATACTATTGTAGCTAGTTATTTTTTATATTAAGTATATTTATATGAAGTTTAGGTTTAAACTCAAAGTTGATATTTTTGTGTGAGAGGGTATATCTAAATTGATTGTTTTTTTCAAAAAAAAATATTAAAGAATAAAAATTATGTGCTACGAGTATGCCGGAAAAAGAAGTCACCAACCAAATAAGAAATCCAAGATTCATCAGAACAAAAAAATCGCAGTCAAGAACTGAAAAACAAATGTACGTATGAGAGTTCTTTTATCGATATTTTTTAGTTTAAAAATTAGTATAAATTCATTTTATCATAATTTAAATTAATCTAATTCAAATCACACCACACTAACACAATATCAAAACCAAATCAAACTGGTCAAGACGGTATTTAGAAACCCTAGAAACACTTTTAAAAAAATATTTTTATGTAAATCGAGTTAAAACTTTTTTTTTGTATGTACTTTATATACGATAAAATTATTTTTAAAATCCTAATTAGATTTTCATTTAAATACTTTCTAAATAACAAACCGAATACATGAATCATTTTCTACAAATGCAAATCTGTGAATTTGGTTGGATATAGATTTTACACAAAATCAAGTCAAGCAAAGAAAGGACACTCTTAGTTTTACCCCTATTATTATAGTGTATCTCCATATTTTGTAAGATTTTTAGATTCTGAAAAAAAAAAAAGAGTTTTAGATGATAAGGTACAAAATACTATACTCGTACTCCCAAGACTTGACTAGTTATTTTCTTGAATACCCCTATCCTAGTAAGCGAACAAAAATCTGGGTTTGGGTTTTGATGGTTCCTGCTCCAAATTTTGCGCCCTACACCAGAAAACGATTCGCGGCTGGCACGTTGGAGAGGCAGTGGCGGGATCTCTGTTCAGTTTCCAGCCGGCAATTTCTTGCCCACCTAAATCATTCCGGCATCAAAGCAGCAAAGGTGCCCAGTGGCCGTGTGTATAGGATCTCTGGCCTCCAATGTCACTCTCAAAATCTCCGGTTGCTGCCGATGAGGATAGCGACCCATCGATTGAAATTGAAGTAGAGGAAGATCCCGAGGAAGAGGAAGATCCTGAGGAAGAAGAATACGAAGAAGTGGAAGTAGAGGAAGAAGTGGAGGAAGAGGAGGGGGAGGAAGAGGGAGCGCAAGATGAAGTAGAGGAGAAGGGAGAGGAAGAGGGAGAAGAGGAGGAAGTGGAGGTAGAGGAGGAGGAGGAGGAAGAAGTGGAGGAGGAGGTGGAGGAGGTTGAGGAGGAGGAGGAGGAGGAGGAGGAGGATGCCAATTTGCGGTGCCAGAACCTTCAGCAGATGCCGCTAAGGACCCTGAAGGTTATTTAGTTCATAATCACTAATTTTATTCAGTATTTATCTGCCTTTTAAGTTCATCTTCACACATTTTGAGACGCTATCGCAAACTTTTACTTTTTCACTGTGGTTGAACCTGTTTGCATGTAATGCTAAATGTGAATGCCGTGTTGTGCTTGATATTTCTTTGTTTTTTAAAAAAATGTTGTGCTCTTTTTTCTTCAATCTTGTTTGATCTTTCTTTGAGGTATAGAGGGAAAGTGTAATGGCGAGTGCCAAGGGAGGAATTATTGGTCTGGTTTCTGGTAGCAGAGGCTGAACCAACTCTGGCTTCTTCTTCTATTACGTTGGAGGATAATCAATAGCAAGTTTAAAGTTGTTTTTCATTTTTTCCCCCGTATATATAGATATATATATATTTCTGGATTGGGAATGTACATGATAAAATGCGAACTCTGGTGTTGAAACATAGTAGTGGAGTAGGTTATTGCATTTTCACGAGTGTCCTGTTGTACTTTCAAGCGTATCAAATTACGGGAATTAGGGACCTTTTGAGAAAGCTGTTTTCCTATATAGCCTCTTACATATTTAGGTGTCCCTTCAGTGGTTAATCTCTCCTCTGTTGTTTTCTGGGATCCTTGGTTGATAAGGTTATCAGGCTTTTGAGCCAATGGATTTTCTTATCACGAAAGCCTGTCTTGCTGATTAAAGATTTCTTTTTTAATCTAACCAAGGTCAGTTTGGTTTGAGGCCGAACCTTGAACTGACCCAATCTTATAAATGAACCAAACCAAAAGAGCGTATGAAATCGAGTGAACTAACCTTGGTTCATGGTATAGTGTGATTCTAATGTATAGTTCCAAACTTTTTCATTTGTTGACTGTATGATATATGGATAAATTATAGGCACTAGATTACATCTGAGAGAGAACACGAAAATTATATTTTATTCAGACTTGTGTTGGGGCTTTCATCTTTAGCGGACAGGAGGCATGGAGAAGTTATTTCTTGAGATTTGGGCTGGGAGATAGCAAAGGAAGAAATACGAAGTTGGGAGGTGTGATATATTTGGTTTGGTTCAGCATGGTTTGAATGATTTGGAGATTTTCAAAACCACAAGCTAAAGTTACTAAGCTGATTGTATTGCTTTGAAACTGAATAGGGCAATGAGATTGATGGCTTGCTCCAGTTGGATGAAGACCTTTTTATGCATAAGTAGGTAGCAACTAAACTAGTCAAGTCTATTGGTGCTGTTAATAACAAACTTATTGTTGGGGAGGCTAGCTAGTTTTAGTTCTTAACTAAAAAACTCGTGTAGTTGCATTACAGAAGTAAGGAAGTGGCTGTGAATATGATGGTTGATCCAATTATGTAAGCCTGATTCTCCCTCTATTCTCTTATTATTTATATTTCTTATCTCTTATCTCTTGTCAAGTTGTATTGGTGCCACCAATTCTTAGATTGATGGTAGATGTGACTGAACCAGAAGCTTTCGTGCGTGACTAGGAAGATCAACTTTGTTAACGGAGTAGTTGGTGAAAGTAAAGTGACCTTTCTAGGAGTTTGAGAGATTCAAAGGGAGGATGCAAGGAAAGCAATTTAATCAAAATGCCTATTTGGGCTAACGATGGAGGAATTAGAGGAGAAATTTAATTCAAATGCTATTGAAAATGGGACTTGTCATTGAATTGGTTGAAGCAATGGTTTAAGGGTTAGTAGTCCCATTGGGGTCAAATTGATTATAATTAAAATAATATAATTTGATTAACATATACAAAAATATTTATATATAACCATGGAAAAAGTGGTATTTAAATAAAAAAAGGCGTTAATTCATAAGCAAATGGAACATTCATGCTTAAATCCCATATACAACAACAACAAAGCCTTATCCCACTAAATAGGACTGGCTACATGGATCACATGGTGCTATGGTGATCTATCACCAAGTTTTAGATAGGTTGTTATCTTACTCAATAACTTCATTGAATGTTCTCTTCAGTCTTCTTCTATTCCTTTTTAGAGGATTCTATACTGCTTGATCAACTCTTCTGACTGGCACATGGCCATCGTAGGCAATAGTCAAGTGAGAATCAATGACATGGTTCAGCATGGTCCCCTTCAGAGTTCAGAATGCTTTTGTTTTTATTTCCTCTAGCAATTTTCAGGTCTTAGTCTTCATTTCTAGACGCTTAGCAATTGTAATGATAAATGACATTGGCAAATTCATTTTATTCTGATCATTGATCAATTGCTTTGTTCATAATCCACTTTGTTGAACAACTACTTCAGTAGCATTCTGCCACAGTCAAGTCTTTCATATTTTGCCCTGTTGGACGTAATTTTATTGGCTGTATGGCGTAATTAAAGAATCCAATTCATTCATTTTGTTTTTTTTTCATTTAGTTTTTTTTTTTTTTTTTATCCCGTGGTAGATTTGAGCCGACATATGGAATCTGAGGGGCAAGAGAGGAACTTCAGGCTAGTTTGTTGTGTGGCAGTAAACCCTGATACAGTGTCTGCAGAAAACAATGACTCCTATAAGGTTCTTACAGTGGAAAAAGGAGATTTTCGGCCAGAACATGTGACTCGAAGTAGTCCAAATTCAAGAAATAATGTGGGTACTGCTGAAGATGATAAACATCAAGGGCTAGATGTCGCTAATGAAAGTAAAGGATCCCCTCTACAATGTAAAACCTTTGAAGCCTACAACAAACCAAGTTGTGATAGCAAAGCTTACTTATGTGGTCTTAAAGAGTCTGGGACAGCCAAGTCATCCAATGATGCTGGAAAAGATATGGCTAAAAAAGATGTGGCTATTGACTTCCAGCAGAAAAGCTGCTGTGTTGAGGATGCTTACGTTGTCACTCAGAATTCTATAAACAAAATAAAGCAATCAGACGTGCATTCAGGGGATGAAACAAAGCAAATGACCTCAAGGTCTGGTCATTATGGTTCTCTACGCTCTTTTGCATTTGCTTATCATATTACCAGAGTGTAACGCACATGGCATAATGCTTCTCATGGAAGTAACTTGTTTAACTTTAAGAATGCTCGTAAATCATATTACTTCATTTTTTTAACCTATACATTTTCCAGATTTACTTCCCCTGATATGAGGACGCAGAGTCTTTCTCCCTGTGCTGAGATGAAAGATGTAAACAAACGGCCAGCAATTATATGCAGCTTTTTTGCTAAAGGATGGTGTATCAGAGGTAGTTCATGTAGGTTTCTTCATATAAAAGATCATGTAAATAATACTGGCCAGCAGGCTGCAGGAGACTTGGTTTCTACAAATTGCAAGAGAGAAGGGCAACCGGAGGAAGGTATATCATATAAAATAAGCTTGTAACCCAATCTGTCCAAGAATCTTCTCTGCAAAGATATTTCTAATAGAAGTGCTCTCCTGTAACAGGTCTGACCGGCAATGCTGAGACATCAGGAATGTCTGACGCTCCAGTTCCATTGGCTGCTTCATTGGCGAGCTCTTCTTTGCATTCTTCTGAATTTTCTCTAAAAGAGACCATCCGTAATGAGCAAGAAGCAAGCCCAAGTCAGCATCCATCTCAAGATAAACATAAGTTTCCATTACTTTTGCAAGAGGACTTGTCTTCTAAGAACCATGTCTTGCCAATTGGTAGAGACAGTTCTATATCCAGGGATCGATTGATCCTTGAAAACAGATCTAATTTTAACGCATCAAACAACTATTTCAGCAGGAATCGCTCTTATCCATCCTGCGTGGAGGGATTGGCTCCCATTGAAAACCAGCACGTGTACAACAAATATGTTTCCCAAGTTTCAGCTCCATCAAGTTATTCAATGTCTTCGAATTTATCTAATGGGGCAAATTCTTTGGATGCTCAAAAGCTGTTGAAAAGTGGCAAAGAATATCATGCTCCTACATCCACTTTCTTAGGTTCAGAATGGGAGGAGATGCCTCTAACTAGTTCATCCGGAGTTCAGCCACATGTCACTGGATATAAAGAAAAATATCTTTTTATGA